TCATTTTTCAGAATCTCACTAGATGCCATCTATTTGATCTGGCCTCACAAGTGGCTGATGGCATTATGTTCCTCACTTTATGGCCTTGTACAATGCCAAACCTCCTGCTTGGGGTCCACAAAGGCCCCACCTTCTCACTCACTTGGTCCGCTGATAGGGGTCCTTCCAGCCACCACGCTTGACTTCTCTGATGGTTGCTTCCCAGACTTCCTGGTCATCCCCGTTTTCTCCCCGTGAATTGGATGGGAAATGGTGCAAAATGCGGGTACTGCAGGGAAAAAAGCGTCCAGCAAGCTGTACTTGACTATGGGAACGACCATGCCACTGCAAAACTTGTGCAACTTCGTCGGGTTGGGTGACGTCAAGGTGCACGCGCTGCCCATCTTCAGGCAGCATTGGGACGGCTCGCCTGCCTCTGGGTTGCCGGCCTGCAGCAACTCTCCACTGAGTGGTGGCCTGGGCAGCGAGTGGAGTAGCTCTGGGTTCTAGCTGGACGGCTGGAAGCACCCGATCATGAGCCAACTTGCTCACGATGATAGCTATTCGCTGGCACAATAGCAATGGATACTCGGCCTCACTTGCCGTGTCGTACCTCCAACCACCATCCAGCGACTTATCTTACTGACCAACTTTTTCAGCGTGGGATCCATCACATCTCACTTCGAGCTGTCGGAGTGCTTCGCAGTTGTGCAGTAGTGAAGTCTGCTTGTCCTCCTCAAAGGTGGCGGGGACGGTACTCCCCTACGCTGCAAGCACATCGGGATTGGCTTGTCCCTTGCTCTCGACGCTGTACCACACGGGGGAGCCATCGGTATGAAGAAGACGTGTCCACGATCGATCTTGTCCTTGACGAACTTGGCACTACTTGGTTTGGATAAATCCAACACTATACAAGGTCCTACTCGGTTCATGCATTTCTTGTGGTCAATTCCTGCTGCTGAAAAACCATGCAACTTCAAACACTTGGATAACTTGCACGACCCTGCAAACAACTCAAACGTTTGCGGCACTACGCCGCTGACATTTTCACTTTGTCTGTCAGAGCTACACCTATTGGTGAAAAAGCTTGCTGCACAAGGTTCGGGATCAGGTCGAGATCTCCTGTCAGACCCCGATTCCGCGGAGACTTCAGCTGCCTCCTCATCTGCTCAGGGGCTCCAGCATTTCACCGCGGCGTGCCCCAGCTTCCAACACTTCACGCAGATGTGAAGTCCCTTGGTGCACTTGCCATCTTTGGCCTTGCACGTGGCCATGTTGTAGCCATAGCAGATGCGTTCGCCCTGCTTCATAGGAGTCAAGCCCCACATCTCCTTTGGCATCTTGATTGGCATTTTCTTTGGGGCTGCTCCTTTGTCTTCTTCATAGTGGAGCACTTCATTCTTCTTCTTCTTGGCCTCAGCTTCCTTCAGGCGCTCTTTGAGCTTTTGATTCTCCTTTGCAAGCTTGCGCTTGCCCACGCCCACCTGCTCGGTCTCCTGCTGCGCCACCTCCTTGCTGGCACTTGACTTGTTGCCAGGTAGTGGCAGCAGAAGCGTCACGAAGGCGGGGTCCAGGATGACACGCTCCAAGGCGACGTCCGCCATGCGCCTTCCTGCATGGTTCCGACCCAGGTCCCCCTGCACTTCTTCACTCATCAGCTTCCATGCCCTGCGGTCGGCTGCAGTGAGCTGGGCCAATGTCACTTGACTGTAGCCAGCCCAGACCTCTCTTTGATACTCTTGGAAGAGCTTATCCACGAGCTTCTCATGGATCGTGTAAGTCATCACGTCCGCGACTTCCAAGGCGAGCCCCCCTGCGGGTGTATGCCTGCCTCAACCTCAAGTCTGTTCTGGTATCGGCACCTGGCATCTTTGTCTCGTCATGGGCCCGTAGGTGTCCACTTGCGTCCCTCTTGATCAGCTCTTCCGTCTTGATGTTCTGCAACTCCTGATCACGAGTGGGAATCTCGTGAGGGGCCATGTAGCGAAGCTCTCCATCCACCCTCATCGAATGGAGTGTGTCCACCACATGATGCGCAGGCTCCAGCTGGTCACTGATCTGGAGGTGGGCATATGTCGCCCTGAGCTGTGCCCACCTTGTCTTTCGTTCCACTGGCGGCAACTTCCTTGTCTTCGAGCCATCTGCTTCTTGGGTACCCTCCAACCTCTGTCGCAACTCAGCCGCCACCACGGTGTAGGCCTCATGGTGTAGCTTCCTGAGTTTTGGCAGGTCTGGGTGATCCGCTCTGCCAAGGATTGGTGTCACCACCTGAGTTACGAAGGCTGTGTCATCGCCCGATCCCGTGCTCGCAAATGTGAAGGTGGACAGGGTTATCCACCCTCTGCGCGCCATCTCATCTTTGCGCGCGTCCAGGCCTATGTCTTTCAACTTGGCCTCAAACACGGCCGCTGACTCTGTCAAGGTGGCCATGGCACCAGGCCTCAACTCGCACCCGGCCTACGCGTCAGAGCCACCAACTTGCTCTGTGAAACAACATGTACACGCACACTTCAAACGCTGACTCTCAGTGCTCCCTAGTCAACGTGACTATACCACACACAGCTCTTCAATCGTCCTCTCAACTCTCCAGGCGGTCCTGTTGCGGCGCACATCCATCGACAGGACGTCCCTGTCCAACTTGACCTGAACCGGACTACCCGGCACACGGTCAACGACCGGGAACTACTCCCATTGCTCACTTGCACTTGCACTTGCTTTGACTTCACTCACACATGCACTTGACTCTCACTTACTTGCTACTTACTTACTTATACTTTCTTGTCCTCACCCATGCTGCACTCCTTCTTTTTACTCCGCTTGGTCTCTCAGGCACTTCACCTGATGTACCCTTCGCACACTTTACATCTACTTCCTAGGCCGTGCACTTCATCGTTGAGTTTAAACATTACTGCGAAAATCGGTCTGCCACATGCCAACTTCCCCTCAACAGCGCTGCCATGGTGAATGGTCCCTGTCATGCCGCGCCTGTACAAATCTATGTTGGATTTCTTCAGAGGACCAAGTCTACTGTGCACCACCGCCTCCAAGTCCCTCTCGTCCTCACTCTCTCGGGCCTTGTCCACCGTCTCCTCACTCTCACTTGAGGTCTGCTCGATGGAGACCAGGCGGTACGACGTCTTCTCAGGTGTTGGGACCTCATGCATTTGCACTTTCTCCTCAGGGTCAGGCAGCAGCTCTTCTTCTTGCTCATCTCGTTGCTTGCCCTCTTGAGTCTCGCACGGCATCGGATCCAACCCCGCAAACCTCTGATTCCTGGGAGCATCAAGGCGAAACTTTCCCTGTTTGATGATCCGGGTCAGGGCTTCCAAGCCTGTGGCCAGCGCATCCCTGCTGTACACCAGCACTGACTTGTCTTTGGGCTTGACGTGATAGCCCATCAAGCGCCTCACTTTCTCTGGCACCATGTACTTCGCCGTCCAGGACAGTGTAGTGGCCTTGAGTGAATGCGCCCCCACATTGCTGAGCTGTCCGGGCCCCAGGACCTCGCAAAGCCACACACTTGCCTCAGAGGTTGACAGCCTGGCAGAACTCCAACCACCACCTGGCACGGGCGTCGGTAGGAAAGGCCTACCAGGGCCACTGATGTCTCTAAGCTTCAGCAGTGCCACCGCCCAAGCTGTCCCTGTCACACCGACTTCCGGTGCAACAACTGGCAGGATCCTGCAAGCTCTGCCTGCTATCGAGTCAGTCTTGCGGGTGGACGTCCCACCCTCAACCAATCCTCCGTCCACTTGTGGCTCGTGCTGGATGCCCTGACTGTCACCGAACCTCAGCCGCCCATAGACGCAGACCAAGCAATGCCCTGCAAAGATTCTATCTTGAAGCGGGAACGCCTGTTCACATACTACCCTCTCGAGTATTGACACTTGGTGCACTGTCAAGGCATCTCTCTGTCTCAGCACCCTCTTGGTTAGGAAGCTTCTGTGGGCAGACCCAGCAATCCGGCTACTCCTCAGGATGTCGTCCACACCATCGAGCTCGATTGTACCCTTGCAGAACGCCAGAGCACTTCGAAAACTGCTGGCCCTGGTCGTTGGTGCCCCATCCCGCCTCAACTGATCAACGTACTGGTAGCACTGGTCCTCGTCGAGCGGGAAGGGATTGTATAGCCCTTGGCACGAGCCCGCCTAATGTATAGCATCAATGCGCTCAGCCTCACTTGCAAAGTGCCGTTCTTCTTTTTGGCAAAAATATCATCGAGCACTTCTTCTCCATTGGTCTCAACCATACTCCTTGCTCTCGAGTGCCTGCCTGCCTCAGCAATAACCACCAGCCAACCAGTGACCCAGGGAAGTTTTCCACTCTCCTTGATGACGAAGCTTGGCTGTAGTTTTGATGGCTCCTGTGGCTTGCTGGGCGGATCAACTTCGATGTCCATTGCTTTTGCACTCCTTGTACTTTCACGCAGGCACTCAAGAGGGAGGATGTTGACGCCTTGGTTCAAGACCACTCCAGCAAAACCTCTCTCCCATGGAATCTTGAGATGCTCCGGGATGAACTTCCTCAACTTTTGCTGCTCATTCTGAATCATCCCAAGCTCATCTGCATTCACCTCCTCTTCCTTGGTGGCTGTAGCCGTTGACGACGAGGTAGCCCGGGCACTGTCCACCATTCTCTTCAGCCGCAACAAGGGGCTGACATCCAGCGGATTCTCTTCCACGGCTTCAGTCGAGTGGGGGGGAGTACATCTCTGTAGGCCAGACCTCCCACCTTTGTCATCTTGCCTCATGGCTTCCACCTCCCGGACCCTGTCTGCCAACTCACTGAAGCTTTCCTCCATGAACACGGCCTCCAGCTCCGGGTTGTAGTGTAGCCCCCCCGCACCATCCCCCTCCTCGGGGGCTTTGTCCACGTCCATGACATCCATGGCGGACTTGAAAAACGTGGGAGGACTTGAAAAACGTGGGGGGGCCACAAGTCTTGAGCCAAAATGGCTACCAGTGCACACCCACTACTTTGTTTACACTCATCCGTTGTTGTTTCGTTTGTAAAAGACACTATTACTTCGTAACAGCATGCATTTTCTTACATGCGAGAGTCCGAGATGTGGACTTCAGATCAGGAACGCGATGGTTACACGCACAGTCCCCAACCCTGCCGCGAGCACTCGCACCTGTTTGATGATTGAGCCAAATGGATGGCGTGTCATTCTCAGTCCCGTACGAAAGGTTTGCTCGGAACAATCGGTTGAAGTCTCTGACCAGTGCGAAGGGTTTGTTCTACGGATTCCCACTGGGCTCTTTTGGAGGAAGCAAGCAGTGATATGCAGGGCATGAACCTACGAACATATGCATGTTGGATTATGTTGGTGGAGCCTAAAGGCTACACACCCGTTCCAAAACGCTTTATCTTCAGATTTTACTCATGGAAGGAATCGTTGGTGACACAAACATACAGACTGCTTTGATAATGCTGGTGATACAGAACCACATGATTTCAACTGACAAAGGAAGTGCTACATTTTCCCCATGTCTTTCTTCTTATCCTCACAAAACATGCTGACATATTTGGACTAGGCTAGCCGCCTTTCCAGGTGGGTTGAGTCTTCCGCAGATGTTGGCACCGGATAATAACATGAAGAGTTGCCTTAAACATGCTCATACGAAAAGCTGAACTCATCTCGGGTAGCGACCACGCCCACTATTGTCGCACAGTTCTACAAGGTCTTCAAGGTTCGGGGTATGCATAGGTCGCATAGGTCCCTCCCTGAGATAGCCACAGTTTGCCACAGTAGACTTATCAAATGAACTAGGAGGGCAGATTCGCAACCACCAATACGCCCTAACACGCCGCGTGATGGGACGGAGTCTCCACAAAAGCCAAAAGCAATGAGCAAAACACACAACACACATCTGCGTCTTCCAAAAGGGCCAACAAATTGGCATCATGGATCCCAAAGAACCTCACCTCCGTGATCGCATCTGCGTCTTCGCACCTCCGTGTCGATTTCTTCGTCTACCAGGGGACGAAGACGCAAGAAAAACTGCAAGTCTCCTGAACCCAGCAAAGCTCTGCCTGAGGATATTGGCCTCGAAGAGAACAAACGTATGACCGGTGGTGTTGATTCGCACTGCAGGAGAATTATACTGGCCCGTTGGAAGCATGTTCGTCAAGATGGCATCCTCCGCATTGTCTCACTAAGGTAGGGCTGTCTCCAGAAAACCAAATCCTCCAAAAGCATCCAAAAGCCTTTTCAAACTACTGCGGATCTGTTGAGTTGATGAAGCAAATGCATGCAAACGCATCGCAAATCGGTGGGATCGAACCGGACCTTGTACCTCGAGACCTATCAAACGAGGGATCTGCAAGACCATTTCCAAATTGTGATATGTGTTGATGGGCATCTTGAGTGGTTTTGAGATGTGAATCCGGCTCCAACCATATCTGGTTGGACTTCCAAGGAACCCGCCCCAGGCCCGATCTTCGAAACGGAGCTAGTTGGAGCCCTAGAACCGGCCCTGTATGCAGGTCTCCCAACAGTCCCTCTCTCTATGTTCAATGCAAATCCCAGCCCCTTCTGGGCTAAGAACTGTTTGTGTACCACTTGGTGCAGTTTACCAACCAAAAATAAGAATATATATATATATACACATATATATATATATATGCAGTGTACATACTAGTGTACATGTATTTGGCTCAAGTTCTCGGCTCAAGAGCGGTTTCCCGGCCCGCTGGGTACTTCACGACTTCAAGAACATCGCTCTGGAGTCCAAGAAGGGAGGCCACACCTTTCTGCTGGACAACATGACCAGAGGATCGTGGGCCCGCTCCTACCAGTGCTGCAGAGGCGCGGATTGCAGCAATTGGATTTGGGAAGACAAGGTGGCTGAAGGGTATGTTTGCCGCAAATGCGGCCTGGCTTGGAGGCAACCAGCTCAAGGTTTTCGAGACCGTTCGAAATCTCAACCCCGGGGTCGACATGCTCCTCGCCAGAAGCCCATCACACCCCCGCCTGGCCTAGGCGGGGGCTGGGCATCCAAAATCACACAGGTACACAAGGCCACCACCGACCTTCTCATGGGCTCGTGGGGCAGCTTGGGCCCCAAATTGCAGCAACAGCTAGAACAGCTTGGCATCAAGCCCGCTCCGCCCACCGTGGAGGCTGATGACTTGACGAGTGTCCTCAAAGAGAACATGGCCCAGCTGCCCACTGCAGTGAAGGATCTGGTGGAGAAGATCACCAAACCTCCACCAGAGACGGAGAAAGACATGGCCATGAAGCTCAAGGCACAGGTGTCACATCTTCGAGACCTGTCCCACAAGAAGCAAGTCCTGCAACAGAAGCTGGACAATGCCAAGAAAACCTATGGGGACATGCTTGAGGAGATGAAGACCATACAAACCAAGCTGGAGGCTGAACAAGGGGCCCTTCACACCACTTCTGCGGCCTACATGGCTTTGGTCAACACTAGCAAGCCGGCCACTGAGCTCCATGAAGGGGAGTCCATGGAGGACACTGTGCCCAATGCAGTGGCAGGTTTCATTACGACCCTTGGGGTCAGTTTGACAGAGGACCAGAAGGCCCAGCTCACAACGATGCTGAAGCGCCCTCCGGCTCCCATCACTGAGGACGAGAACAAGCGACGCAAAATGTTGGAGGAGGTCCAACAGTGTGGGTAACCTGATGCCTAGGGATGCCTCCCTTTGGCACTTTGCTTCTTGTGTTTTCGGGGCTGCTGATGCGGGCCATCAGCCACACAGGGTTTCTCAATCGAGTTGCGGGGTTTTTGACAACTTGGTTGATTCTTTTGCAGCTGGAGGCTCGAGACGAGTCAAGGGTAGCCGCGGGGGCTATGGTCCTTGGCGACAGCCTCCTCCTTTCAAGTTGAGGGGGGGACACTCCGACCCTCCCTTGGGGCCAGAGAGCAGTTGGGCTCGCCGCGGGGCACCGAGTTCCTCTACCTCAGCGCAGACCTCTCGGGGTGCTGCAGTTGACGGGACCCCACAGGCCAAGCTTGCTGCTCTTCTGGTGGATCTCATGGACGATGACATCAACCGTCAATTTCTGTTTGATTTGAGAAGGATGGAAAACACACTCCACAAGCTCCTTGCGGTTCAAGGTGATGTTCCACATCTTGCCACTAACGTCTATGTTGTGGCTCAGGCTCTGACCAGCATCCTCTCCAACCCGCACAACATGTGTTTTGCCAATGCGGTCCTGCGATGCTGGAGCTGGGCAGGGGCTCATGCTGAAGACCAGTCCATTGCCTGGGGCCGGACACATGGTGCGGTTCGGCAATTTCTGGGGGCCGACCAACCATCCCTGCTGAGCAATTTGGATCAAATGCACCATATTCTCCAACACTTCCAAGAAGGTACTCAAGCGGATGTTGGGGATTTTGCAGGCCTCTTGTGGAATTTTGCGGACAGCACCTTCTTCGGTGGCAAGCTTTTCCATGTTCACCTTGACGGACGGCTTGAGGACAGAGAACAAGTTCCCCTCAACATGCTGTTCCCACCGGGAGACGCGGCCATCTCCTTGGATGAGCTTGTCAACCTGTGGGCTGACGAAGAAGGAGGGCAATACCTTTATGGGGCTCCCGATGGCCTCATCCTGCACCTTCAACGGTCGGCTTTGGTACAGGGGCAATGGACCAAGCATGACCGGCCTTTGGATTTCTCCACCAGCGTCAACATTCCCTTCTCGGAGGATGGAATTCATGTTCATATGGCCACTTACAGGATTGTCAGCCTGGTTTTGCATCAAGGAGAAGGGCATGAGAACGGGCACTATGTGTGCATCCATGCCATGGACAACACCTACTGGTTTGCTGATGATGACCAGTATCCTGTCCCCATGTCCAACATTTCGGATCAGCAGCGGAAGGAGGTTGTCCAACTCTGGCTGATTCATGACAACCAGGGTGAGCTTGTGGCAGATGCCGTTGAAGCTTTGGAACCCAGTCAGCCCAAGAGGGCCAAGCATCACTACGAGACCTTGCGCCTCATCTTTGGGAACGTGACCTTCTTTGGCGCTCGCGTTCAGGACTGGATCTGGACCAAAGGAGACCACCTTCTCTTTTTGCAAGAGACTCATTTGGGCCCCAAGAAGCTCAACGAAGCCCAGCAATACTTCACTGCAAGAGGCTGGAAAACGCATGGTCTTCCGGCTGCTGATACTGGACGAGGAGGGACCACGGGAGGCATGCTCACCTTGCATGGCAATCGGCATTTGACCCATCTCGATCACTACCTCCAAGAAGGCAATGGCTGGATGTCTGTTGGTTTGCAGCGGCATGACACGATGAAACTTTGCAGTCACCTCACAATGCCGACCTTTTGGCACACCTTCTCACCTACCTGGGTCATCTACGAGCTCCCTTCATTGTGGGTGGGGATTGGCAGAATGAGCCTGGTGCCTTGGCGGCCACGGTCATTCAGAGTAAGTTCAAGGCGGAGATCTTAGACACACAAGGACCCACCACCTTGCAAGGATCTCAACTGGACTTCCTGCTGGTCTCCTCCACTCTGGCACCATGTCTTCAGGTTCAAGCCAACTGGGATGTGCCGTGGAAGCCTCATTGTGCCCTGGATGTGACCTTCAACTGTGATTATGCGGCTGTCTCTGTCCAACAACTTCAGCGCTTCCCTCCGATCGGAAGGACTCATCCTTTGCCGGCCACCTGGACCAGTTTTTGGGAAGACGACGGTCCCTTCCACATCATTGGCCAACCCATCACTGGCATAGGCTCTGACTTTGCTCGCTGGGCCACACAAACAGAGAAATACCTGACTCAGTTGCTCCACACACCCACACAAGGAAGAGGATCCCGGATCTCCATGTTCCAGGCACCTCTGGTCGATCAGACCAAGTCCCAAGTTTGGAAGAAAGGTCATGTTGCCTTCTGGGAGAAGATGAAGGTGCGAGTCAATGTGGTTCATCAATCTCAGCACCCTCGAGTTGCTCAGGACCTACTCAATATGTTGGAGTCAGTTTCTCAGCATGCATCGGATGGGATGAGCCAAGACCTGTTCACTGCGCTCATGAAGCATTGGATACAGCATCCCACCAATGAGCCTTTGGAGATTCGGCGCATCATTGCAGAAGAAGAGCAGCTCGCCCACAAGGCTATCTTCCACACCTCCAGCGAGGAATACAAGCTCTGGCTGGAGAAGGCTCATCAGAAGGGACTCAGGGGCCTTTTCCGGAGTCTCAGGCAGAAAGATGTTCCATGGCAAAGGCCCTTTAAACATTTGCCGCTGGCAGAACGACAACTAGCACGACAGGCTCAATGGGAGGGCATTTGGCGCCCACGCCCTGATCCCCGTCCCCTTCGGCAATGGGATCTTTTGCAGGAAGCAGCCAAAGATCAAGCGGAGCAATTGCCTCCCATTCAGTCCCATCAACTACAACAGCTTCTTCGGCATTTGCCCAACAAGGCTGCTGGACCTGATGGCATTTCATATGACTTCCTTCGGCATTTGCCTTATCCTGCAGTGGAGAAACTGGCTGAGTTGCTCACTTCCATGGAGCGAGAAGGAGAGCTGGCTTTGCAACTGAGGGTGACAAACATCGTTCTCATACCCAAAAAATGAGAAGGTCGAGAGACCAATTGCCCTCACCAGCTGTTTGTATCGGGTATGGTGCCGTGCGAGAAAGGCGGACCTGCAGAGGTGGCAGCTCTCTTTGGATGATCAGCTGCCTTGGGATCAAGCTCGGCCGGGGCGCGACTGTCTGAGCATTGCCATCGGGCGGATGCTGCATGCGGAGATTGCCCGCCATCAAGGCATACACACGGTCACTTGCTTAGCAGACCTCACTTGCTTCTATGACCATGTTGACCTGGATGCCATCATCGCACCTGCTCGCGACTTGGCATATCCGCCCTTGCACCTCAAGTTTGCACTGGACGTCTATCGAGGGCCGAGGACCATTCAAGCTGAAGGCATCAATGGAGAGGCCAAGCATTATGACAAAGGAATCCTACAGGGATGCCCTCAGGCGCCAGCCATCTCGAAGCTCATCCTTTTCAAGCCCCTCAAGGTCATGGTCACCAACCATTCGGCCGTCACCCTCCAGACTTGGGTGGACGATGTCAGTTTTGACATCCACAGCCGGGACCCTGACTTTGCAGCTCGAGAAGCTTTGAGTGCTTTCCGCACCATGAAGCACCAAATGGAGGAAGCTGGCCTGAAGTTGAACACGGACAAAACAGGCTTCCTCACCAGCTCCAAAGAAGCTGCTAGGGCCCTGAAGGCCTTGTTGACGGACAGTGATCCAGAGCACTACGATGTCCTCCGAGACCTGGGAGTTGACTCCACTGCGGGTCGCAGGCGCCGGGTCCCTCAGATCAAAAAGCGCTTCTTGAAGGGCAAAGGACGTGTTGGGATCCTTCATCGCCTTCGGCTGTCCACTGGCATACGCTACAGGCTGCACAAAGGGGCCATCCACCCGTGATGTCCTGGGGAGCTCAAGCCAATGGACTGGCCCCTCAAAGACGACAGCAACTCCGGGTCTTAGCAGCACGGGGCCTCAAACTCCAGCGGACAGGCTCAGTCGATGTGGTGTATGACATGAATGATGGACAGCCAGATCCGGGGGATTCAATCATCCTCCAACACCTGCACACAGTCTGGAAGGTCTTCCACCGCTTTGATGAGAGCAAACAGCATCTCTTCTGGACCAGTTGGAACACCGCACTGGGAGCTCTCCAACAAGCCCGGTACAAATGGCAGGTGGTATCCGGCCCTCTTCAAGCCCTTCAGGCCTACTTGCTTGACATGGAGTTTGACATCTCCAATGGCCACAAATGGAAGTGCACAGGTTACGGAGGGATACCAGACTGTTTGCTCTCCCTTTTGGATCCATGGCCGGTCATCCACTCTCAGCTCCAGCAGGAATTCCGATGGCAACGGCTTTTGCGCTTGACCAGGTATGAAGGCTGCCACGACATGGAAAGGCACTTGGATTGGATGATCAGTCTGCACATCCAGAGGACTACAAGTGACTCCTTGGCTACAGGACTTCGTGCTTTCCATCAAGGCACCTTACATGGAGTTTCTGGCCATTGCCCCCTATGTGGAGTTGACTTGACCTTCAGACATATGCTCTGGGAGTGTTCCTTTTGGCAAGGCCGGGTCAAAGAGCTGTCGTCTGAATGGGTCAATAGGTTGCAAGCGGGCACGGATCCAGAGCTTTGGCAGAGAGGCTTTGTTCAGAAGATCTTTTACGAGCCTGAAGAGGGATTGGCCACCATCGAAGGCACAGGCTTGTGGGAAGATCTTGGCCTTCTCCGGGCCGACAAAGGTCACATATGCTCGATTGCAGTGGCACCCACTTGTGGGGACAAGAGGCATCGACGTTTTGCCTTTGCTGTCTGCGTCCATCTTACGAAGACCAAGCAGCAGGTGGGGTCCATTACTGGCATCTGTCCTGCTCCGGCGACTCGAAGGAGGGCTTTCTTTTACGCTATGAAGCAGCTGGCACTCCATGTCACTGAGAAGACCCCGGTGGCCCTCTATGATGTGAAGGTGTGGCAGGCTTGGAAACCTCATGTGGCCTTTGAGACTTTTCCGGATCTTTTTCCGGGGCTGGAGTTCGAGGATTTTGACCATGTCTGGCCTCTCCTTTTCTCCAAGCAGGAGCTTTCTCAGAATGAACTCCGACGGATCACCCAGAAAGACACGCAGCAGTTGGCCCTTCGCACCGGCAAATTGTTCGAACCCACTGAGATTCTTGACATGCAGGCTCATGTGGACAATGATGCTCATGAAATCTTGCTGCAAGCCGGGGAGCGAATGAGCATTTTGCTTCAGAACAAGAACCACTATTTGCACCGCAAGGAAGCCGTCATGCAGGATAAAGTTCCACTCATCCAGCAGAAGAAGGAAATCCTTGCTGACCTGCTTGCCAAAGAGTCACCCAACGGGCATGCATGGGAGCCCTTTCGAAGTGGCATTCGCTGTGGGCATTGCAAACTCCGCTACCACAGCAAGAGTCTCCTGGTTGAGCTAAAAGAAGCTGGAGAGAAGCCCTGCGAAAAAGCGCCCAAGCTCTCTCAGCCCAAGCAGACCAGGATGGAGATGATTCATGCTCTGGTGGCCTCCCAAACCGGTCAACAGAGCGGAGTGCACCATCTGAAGTTGGATCGTGCATACCTCAGGTGCATGGCTTGCAAAAGCTACATCTTGGCAAGGACGAACGAAGAAGCCTTCACCAAGTTCGTCAGTGAGCCATGCTACACGGGACCGCTGGAGAGTAGCTTGTGGGAAGGGCACGTCTCGCACACTATGCAGAGACAGGGTCGCAACGTGGAATGCAGTCGATGTCACGCGAGAGCCAAGTTCATCGACGAGAAGATTCAGTTGACGACCCGCTTACGCCAAAGGTGTGTTTTCCAGCGGAGTCGAGATCTGCGAGAAATGTTCGCATGAAACGAGAAACGCATTGCACCGAAAAGACGAGCAAAAAAAAAAAATGTACATGTATTTAAGAAAACGACACGTATAAATTATATAACAACAGAACCTAAGCTTTAAGCGAACACAGGCAAGTCTTCAGAAAAGCTTCCCGCCGATCTTGACCCTTTTTTGCCAGTGAGTTCTATCTGATTTTGACCACCAGCCATCTCACCTTCCCCAGAGTTCCCCGGCTGCAAACCACGGCCACGCTCATCGCAGGAAAGGGTGCCAGCTGCTCCAAACGGTGTAGCACTACAGCACCTGGCAGTGCTCGCTTTGGGCGGTAAGTCCTGCCTGGAACGTCGGACAACGGCGTCCTACCGCGAGAAGCAACGTCTTGCAGGTTCGCGCGCCCAGTAATTAGTAGGAGATGTCGCTTGTAGTGACAAGAGTGATCGGCGCTTTGGCTGCCAGGCGCAGGCAAGATGTTGCCCGTGTTTGCAGAGATATGTACCAAAACCTTCTATAGAGTGGATGTAATCAATCACCCATTCAGACCTGATGACAAGCTCCTTTGGGGAAGTGATGCACAAAGTCTTGTCAACTGGATGTTGGATTCACTTTGAAGTCAAAATGTTCTGCTCCGAGTTCACCAGATACATCCAGATACATCCAGATAGCACCGATTTCCCAGCCCGGCCCAGACCGATTTCACACCCGCCCAGCCAGGGACCTTCTAAACCTCTCGTCGCCCTTCCATGATGTAGCTCATAGAAGACCTCGAGAGGTGGCAGTTCACTGGCAAGTCTGCAGAAGTCTGCCATAGATCCCAAAATCATTGCTTTGTCTGAGCCACTCTTGCTTTGTCATGACGTTTGAAAATCAAGTCGTTCATAGCATGTCAAGAACCGCAAGCCCCCTGACTTGAACCTTGCAGGTATTCCATTGGCCCTCGCCTTGCCGCTACAAAAGATCACCCGCTTGCAATTCCTCTGATCAGCTTTGGATGCCTCAAGACGCCGCATGAGCCGCAGGCCGCAGGGCAAAACTGAGTCCATGCAAACCCACGTCACGCCCGAGGCATCACTGCAAAGCCAAGGAAGGCACTCACCAAACAAAGTACACCCGTTGGGACGTCATTGACGCTCCTTTCGTTAGGTCCTGTGTAAACGCTGCCTAGACAGAGTCTGACGTCTCATGTGTCTCATGTCGACAACTGATCAGACATGGGACATGTCCGACATGGACTAATATGTTGTTTCAACTCTTGTGGGCCAACGATGCCGGACCGGTCGGACCTATCGATGGAAGAACGACATGCCGGTCGTTCCGCGTCACATCGGATGGTCGGTCGATGTCGGTCGCTGGTTCCGCTTGGGCACGCTCGAGCACATGTTGTCGCCGTCGCCCCCTTCCTGTCGCATCAAACAGTTGTTCTGTTTGTTGGTGCCTCAACCTACTCGCTCCTGATCCATTCGTTTTTTAATTTCGGCTATAGATGTGAACTTCTAACACGCAAAACTGTTTCCCTGTGTTGGCTTGGGATGATGGTTCACAGCCACACAAGTTTCCATTTTTTTGGAGATGTCTCAGCAGCAAATCTCCCAGAGCCAGGGTGTCCCTTTCTCGCAAATGGCATCTGAGACACAAAACAAGACAGTTGATGCATCCTGACATATCATACGTAACATATCATTCCGCATCAGTGAAGCCCAGCTTGCCTGAATCAAACGCTGGAAGCGAGTGCCGGACATCATGTGCTCCAAAGGTGAGCGACAGGGCCTGAAAGCATTATCTATTGATGCACTGCTGTTGCAAAGGACACTTCTGAGCGAAATCATGACTTCTCTCATATCTTGATGTCTTCTAATGCCTTCTCTTGCTTCCTTCTTGTGTTGTCTTTCTTGCTTTCCACAGTTCTTTCAGCCATGCGCAGCTTAAGGAGGCTTGGCGAGCTTAAACAACCTCTAGCTGGCCTGTGGTGCAACAGGTACTTGGCCGTCATCACAACCAAAGGTTTGGCCTCCGCAACCGCTCAATGCGGAACACCGACCGAAGTCTCGACCGAAGTCTCGACCGACGAGGTCCCGAGCTTCGCCATGAACGAGGTCCTGGCGCGTCCCGCGCACGGGCGCCCCAACGAAGCTTCGGTGCACTTGCCGCCGCAAGACGTGGAAAAGGTTGGCCGGAGTGGTGATGTACCTGTGCCATGTCGGAGGGTGGCCTGTGCTGCAGAGAACAAGCTAGTAGGTCTGTGAGACCAGAGCAGGTCCGGTGCGTCACCAAAGTTGGATGCCTGACATGCCCAACAAGCAGCCAGCATGGCTTCCTGTGGCCTTCTCTCAACCGTCCCTGGTGAGGATTTGATAACACGCATCACCAAGGCCCGGATGTGATTGGGCGCTGTTCATGGTGCTTGGGATATGTCATGATATGTCTTGATCTCTGGAAGGGGTTCATCTCCTCGAACTGGCTCACGGATACCTGTGGCACTCCTATGGTCACCAAAACGCCTGAAAGAACTCGCTTCCAGGAAGCGAAAGACGTGCTCTCCCGCGTGAAAATATCAGGTTCGGGCGACAAAGGTGCAGCACCTGAGTACAATTATGTACAATTCCTGTACGACATCTAGGTGTCCCACCCTTTGAAATTGTGTACACACATGAGAAGTTCAACTTATAGACAGAACTTACTCATCTCCGGAATGTCCAGTTGGTTGAGAACTCCTTCACTCCTTCACCCTCTTTCTCCAAAACACGCAGCGACGGGCCATGGGGGTTCTGAAAGTTCGGGTCATCCGGTAGTGCCAAAACCCGCTCGAGATGGTCGGCACACGACCATGATGTTCCTGCAATAATCGAAGCTCTCCTGCAGTAGTGCCAATCGATGGACACCTTGCTCTACAGCGGCTTCATCCTGCGACTCCGACGGAGTCAGTTGGCCACGGCCCATCGAAGCGCTGTTTCGGCTTGGCATTTGGGGACATGGCGAAGCGTGGACCTTCCAACAAAAGCGGTTGCCAAAGGAACCACCACCACGACCACCACCTCCAAATGGTCAAAATCATTTCTGGGAAGGTTGTGTCAGCTTGGAAAGAGTCAGGGAAAAGTCAAGTGGGGGAAGTCACTACAAAGTCAAAAATAGATCATTAACTCAAAAGGGACCAATGCCAACTCTACTTCACCTCTTTGCTGAGAGATCGGCCACTAGGAGTGTGAAGAATCTCTGGAAAACCGCTCTTCTTATTGGTGCTCCAAATCTATGTACTATCACCATCGCATTGATTTACAAACAAAATATGCAGACCTTCAAGCTGAACTACAAGTACCTCACAGTCACAGTCGAGGGATGGAATTTTTGTCAAACAGGACCTACCCACACCAGTGGCTAGGGCTCCAAAAATTGAGACGGTCTAGATACATCACGTCTTTTTGTATTGTAAAATACTATAAACAGTAAGTTTAGTAGTTTGTCTTCAGTGTCAACCGATCTTCCACAGTTTAGTAGTTAGTCAATGTCCTTTGATCAGCCAACAGCCTTGTGTGTGGTCTAAACAACCAAAATTTTACAATAAAACAGTAGAAAAGAACAAGCAAAATATACCAAAATGTCCAACACATCCGTTTTCTTAGAGTATGGCATACTGCATGGCATGAAAAAGGCGGCTCCTCCAATTCAATGGCTTCAAGGACGTCGTAGACCACGGCTCGAGCTTCGCGCCTCGGGGTTTAGCCGTTCTTCCCCGAGGACTTCATCCTGCAAGTAATTGGATGAAAGAAGGGCGAAGCAATGGACTCTTTTGGCCAAGGCTCAAAAGCCGACTGTGAGGTGCGCAATGCCGTGTTGCGGAGGCGAATCAATTCGTCCAAAAGGTCAAACAGATCCATCAGATCCGCTCGAAAAGGGTGGAAAGCGTGACCACCCGAAGAAAGATGGACGGATCATTTGGTCCTTCAACTCGTGAAAACATGTCGACATGTTCTTTCCACTAACACCCTAAGAAACCAACAAAATGAACCAATTTAACCACCAACTTTTGAGGATTCTAGGATATTCTAGGTGTTGAACCAAAGCCAAACAAACCATTCTGATAAGCATCCTCCAACGAAGCTTTCGACCGAGACCTGTCTTTTTTGAGGGAAATCGGAAGTGTTGACTGCACACAGCTCCTCCAAAACCCGGAACGTCTATGTTCTTCATGTTCTTCATGTTTAAGAGACTCTTACCTTTGTGGGTGTTTCAAGGTATGTTTTGTGGGTAGCATTTTCCTCCGTTCGCCCGACTCAGCTCAGTCACTTCTTTTCGTCTTCAAGAGCCTTGTCCTTCGCAGGCCACAGCATATCGGCATCCTGCGTGACAGACAGTGCAGCAGTCGTTCCTTACGCGAAGGGCCCACTGGTAGAGTAAAATTCTTAGAGTTGTGTTGCGCCAAATTAAGCTTGGGATTGGACATCGCAAAATTATTAGGCAACATAGTGACATGGAAACTCACTAGAAGCACAAGTATTCAGGAAAAATTTGAAAAACAACATGTAACAAATAGTGTCCCTAATCATGTCATACGTATATATAAATTGTTGGGCTATGTGCTTTTTGTGTTTCTAGTGTTTCTTAGGCTGACGTATATTTTCCCTATATATGTGTTCGATGATAGTGTCGAAAAATTAGCTGCTTGTGAGCTGAGCCAAAATTTGGTTCCTTTGTTTTTGTTTTGTAATGTTCTTGATTCTGTGCTTTCCCAGTGTCCTTTCAATTGGTCCTCTCTATCTTCTGCCCAATGTATATTACTTTGATTGCACCCAGTCGAATCCCGCCTTCAACAAAAAACGCCCTTGGTAGAGGGCCTTGAAAATGACTTTTGAAAAACTGTTGCCAGAAAGAATTCGGCAATTCTGGTCGGGGAAGGCCTCCACTCCGATTCTGGGTGACTCTATCCAGCACAACAGCGGCGAGAAGGAGGACTTCGTCTGGTCATGGATGCATTGACACCCCGAGTATGATAGTTCGCTCCATCAAAACTTACAAATCAAAGCGTGAATGTCAGTCAAAACTACAGTACGACTGTCAAATCACAGTACCATCAAACAGTCAAACATACAAATCAAAGTTTGCACAGTTCATGTCTAGCTTGGAAAAGGGGGTGCGACTCTGAAAGATTAAATTTTCTTGGGGGCAGCTGTCAAAACAGAACATGCCTCAAACTCACTAAGCATCTCTTGCACTGGCATCACTAGCTTCAACTCAAGCACAAAACACCTCTATATATATACAGCATCCATATCCACTACCACTGCCAGACTCCGACTACGACTGCTACTGCTACTAGTTGGTGGACAAAATCCTGCACCACTTTGCGCACAGTTTTCTTGCTGCTCTCGTTCTCCCTCGTTAACATTGGGGACACCACAGTGAGAAAATTAAAACAAGTTGAAGGTCCAAAATCCTGCACCACCTCCTCAAGGGAGTCGCGCCAACATCGAATGAGGGGGCGTGGGGGTTGCTATGCGACCCTTCCAGTGGTGAGGTGGTGCAGGATTCTGTCCATCAACAGTATGGCTACTTGTACTAGCACTAGCACTAGTACTATTACTACTACTACTACGACGACGACGACCACCACCACCACTACTACTACTACCACCACGACTACTACTACTCCTCCTCCTCCTCCTCCTACTCCTACTACTACTACTACTACGACTACTACGACTACTACGACTACTACCACTACTACCTCTACTACTCCTACTCCTACTACTACTACTACTACTACTACTACTCCTACTTCTACTGCTACTCCTACTCCTACTTCTACTACTACTACTACTCCTCCTACTACTCCTACTCCTACTCCTACTCCTACTCCTACTCCTACTCCTCCTCCTACTACTACTACTGCTACTACTACTGCTCGGGCCAGTCAAAGCCACGAATCTCTCTGGCCCAAACAAAAACACGCCTCATCCACCAGCTGCAGGAAGCGCTCGGGGCGCGCAGAGGAATGCTCCGGGCCCTGATGCACGAGGCTCCAGACACTTCGATGGTTGAAGTTGAATCTCCGAAAGCCAAAGACGACATACTCCGAATATCTCCGAAGATTGAATACTCCTGTTTACTTTTGCTACAAAAAAACACAGCTATTGATACTTTTCAGGGTGGTTTGAACATTTCTTGTATCAACTGCCGGAATCCCCAAGGTCGACACCAGTTGACACTACCAGTCTCATCTCTAATCAAAGAGACACGACTAAAAAGATTCCGGTGCGCTCCATCCTCCGGCTCCGGCGAATTCCGGAGCCGGCCTCTCCCGGTGAAAAACCGTCCGTCCGAGCGATTGCTCGACCGTCCGACCAGTCGTCCGGGTGGGGTGGATGTTAATCAGGAAGTGCCAGAAGAGTTTTTTTTCCTTTTTGGTCGGCTTTTTGGAACATGGGAATGCTAGAAGTGTTGGGATTTTGAAGGTGGGATGATAGTACTTCATCTCCAACAATGTGTACTGTATATTGTCCAGTTGGGATTGTGAAGATGGGGATAAGAGAGAGATTTACTTCAGAATGCTCGCCTGGTCTTACCCCACACCGATGATCACCTTTTTTCCAATTCTCTTGTTGTTGACGTTTGTCGGAGAGTGATGAACACCATACAAGCGAAGTCAACCCTGCTCATGACAGTAATGAGCTCCTTCATCCCACATGTGTTTCTTCTTACAAAATGATACAAAATGTACCTCCAATCATTAAAGAATACACAATGTAATTCTCACAGGTGTATTCTAGTCCGATGTAATCTGGTTCCAGCAAACTCAAAAACCTCGGACTAGAGCTCAGCAAACCTCATCGAAAGGATTCGAACCTCAGTGATCGGGAGCACCGCGCGACACGCCTGCCCTTCCAGACCATGCGGGAGCAGCATCACCAGATTGCTCAGGCTACCCCACCTCACCACAAAAGCACGATGTAGACTTCCGGTCGCTTCAGTTTTGGTCAGGCTCTGGCAGCCACGAGCTTGACCAAATCTGAGAACCGATCGGATGGTGTCATAGTTCTGCCAGATCTTCTTCACAAATCCCCTGGGGGGGTTGCTATATGTGTCTTGTAACTTGTATATGGTCATGGTCATCGTCATACAAACAAAGAGAGTTTCTGGATTAGCCACAACAACCGGGTTACCGTTCAGTCTTTCTATCCAAGGCCGTCAACATCTTGGCACTGTTTCGGTCACCTACAGACCAGTGACTGTAATTTGCATGGTGCAAAGCTTAGTTTAGTCCAACCGCCCAACCCTGCCAGAAAAGTCCCTATCAGTGCCCATCCCAAGTGTCCCAAAATCTTACGCAAAAAGCATCAACAGCTGACGTGTGACTGATTCTGAGTGTTATATGTATATATACCTGGACCCTCCAAGGGGTGCCCAATGGAAGCCTATAGGTAGTGTGGGGTAGTCCATTGGACATCCCTTGGAGGGTCCAGGTATGTACTGTGATGTGTTGGCGTCAGCTCGGATGGCAGTCTTGTTCTTTGTGGCCCCCTCCATGGATCGGTGTTCGCCATACCACGATTTGCCTCGGGGCTTCAAAAGGGCCTCGGGTCACCAACTCCCAAAACAATATCTGGAGTTGGGAATACATTCTCATTGAGTCTATGAGGGCCTCGGGTCGCAGAATGTGATGGTTTCTCATTGACTTGAATAAAAACATGTCTGACGCATGTATTTTGTCTCCTAGTACATCTTTTGTTCAGGGGGGGTGACTTTTCGAGCGAAGTGGCAAAGCGTGTCCGCAAGTGATTGTACGCTGGTACGCTGGTACGCTGGCGGTGGCTGGCTGCGCTGGTTGCGCTGGTTACGCTGATTACGCTGGTTACGCTGTTCGCTGGTTACGCTGGTTACGCTGTTCGCTGGTTACGCTGGTTACGCTGACCACTGACCACGCTGTTTACACCGGATACGCCGGTAACTGTTTCAACGGTGTAGACGGTGGAAACGGTGTAGACGGTGTAAACGGTGTACCTATATAGACAGTGTAGACGGTGTAAACGGTGTAGACGGTGTAGACAGTGTGCCGAAAAATTGTGGACTTTTCTGTCTTTGCTGGTCAGGTGTCATCGCGGCCGCTACAATGTGCCAAAGTCACTTCTGCTCCCCGCTGGCAATGAAGTTGTCAATGATGGGCTGGGCGCAATTGGCAAAGTCGCCGAACTGAGCCTTGACAAAGTCACAAAGTTCACTGTCGGGTGGTGCCATGGAGCCATATGATGAAATGCAGTGAACAAGTTAAAAAGCATGTTGATACCAGACGATTTGACCTTCCCAATAGATCATTGACCTTCCCAGTCTCATGTAACAGGTTGACTGTGACACGTACAACCAAACAATGTTGGAACCTAGATGTCCTTTGTACAGCTCACAAAGACTCCAATGCCCACAAACGATGTTCGGTTATATATATAAATATAGTTCCCTTGAAGTGGCGCATGCCGGTGAATGGGGGTCTGGCTTGTTGCTGAAAAAAGGCTTCAGTTTCTGGCTCTACGTTCTTCTTCTTCTTCTTCTTCTTCTTCTTCTTCAACAACAATGATTGTGGCGTTGTTTGTGTCAAAATGACACTTTCTTCAAAAGGGTTTCTTGGCTTCGTCTTTGATGCGTCCAAATCTTTGGCAAAATGCCTCGCATCGTCACCCCTCAAAGAAGCTACTGTGCAGTCCACTTTTGCCGGTCTAGCTGCCAAAACCAGGTCCCGAAGACCAGTAAAGTTGAATACCAAACACCAAGCTTCCTCGGTATTGGATCCTTGCAACAACAGAACACCGTACCTCTGCGGTTTTGAGCTGGCCTCCCACATTGTCAATGCCAAGCCAGCGCCCTCCTCGAGGGAGTAGCCGTACTCGAAGCCCAGGATGGCCTAAGTAAGTGGGAAGGAGCTCAAAACGTGGAATGTGCTGAAAAAACACACGTGTTGAGTGACAAGAGATACTGTAGATATTGCAATTGCCCTACATCGCTTGAATTTGGGATACCCACACGGGGGACATTTACCGTGAACTGCTCAAAAAATGCTGCATTTGACATGCCCAGCACTGGCACGTGGGAGAGCTATGTCGCCATGTCGGACCATGTCGGGGTGGCGAGGTTGATGATCCTGCTATACAAGTGCTTTGTGGGAGGTCCCAATTACATTCAAAAAACATGATTATATGGATAATTATATAATCCCCCAATTTGGATCGTAAAAACGTCTTCATATGCAGGGGTTTATTGATCAGGAGTCTACATTATCTTGGGTGTGTGTTTCACGGTCTGATGGTTCAGGCTTCAATTCGGATTTTGTGAGATTTCCAGGTCAGAGATATGAGGGTCTGTTTTTTCGGTATATTTTTTCTGATCGTCTACGACTGTGGGTTTGTTCGTCGACCACGCAACAGACAAGATCTCCCCCCCCAACTTCCTGTGTCCAGTGACAAGTTCCGAGAGTGAGGAATTGCACACTACCGCTTGCGACTGCTCGCCCAAGCCCAAGTCACCTGGGCAATGCCCGTGCCCCAGTTGCACTATGTCCGCGCGACTGGCGTGAAGTGATTGGCTGACTGGTGCGACTGATAGAATCCCAGACACTCCATGCATATATGCCTACATTGGGGTGGTTTGGGGGGTCAATATGGGTCAATATGGGTCAATGCATGCATATATGGCATACATGGAGTGCCTGGGATCTAAACCGGTCAGTGCCCGTTGACAGACCCGCCTGGAGGACCCGGAGAAGGGGACGACGTTCGTCGTCCAACGCCATGGACGAACGAGCGGCTCTCACAACCCAAAACATCAACTTCAGAAGGGTTGACAAATAAATACGTTCTTAAAAAAAAACGGATAGAAAGAAAGGGTTTGAAATAAAGATCGTCTCGCTCAAATGGTTTCACCCTTGCTGGAAAAAAAGAACGAGATCTTCGGTCTCCTTGGTCCAGGTCTCCTCGGAAGGTCTCGCGACTCCCCCCGGTGATCCGCGCTCCGACCGCCGTGATCCGCGCCATCCGACCGTCGTGGTCGGGTCGACGTCCAAGAGACTCAGCGGGCTGTGGGGGATGGCAGAATCTTGGTCGTGGATGATACCTGACAATTCTGGCTCGTCGTCTCAGGGATGAAGGAGATATCCAGATGGATGACTAAGATGACTGAAGATGACTGGATGACTGAAGATGACTAAGATGACCATGCAGAGACTTGTCATAACTCAAGTCACAAAGTGATCGCTACCTGCTCTGATTCCACAGTTGGACCGAGAACGCGGCCATATATGGATCTATGCATACCCACCGCGTAGTACAGCCTGTGGTTGCTGGTGTTCACCGCACATTGTGAGAGGCCAAGTGGCTATGCCGCTGATTGAAGGTGCCACGTTCAACATCTTGACCTTAAGATCCACAGCGCTTCAGATTGCCGGTCTCATGGCCAGCGTTGATCTCCGTTGCCGGTGTCACCTCCAAATCCCGGTCTCGTACAGATCAAATCTAGCTCAACTTGCCAGCGTGACGTTGGGTGAATCAGGGACCATGCCCCAAGTGACAGTTATGAGAAGGAAGCACCTTACCCCAGCCAACATCTCCATCAAAACATATTGATCGCCCAACCAAACCGCTCACCAAACCGACTCCAAGCACCAACGACGACCTCCAAAGCGACTCGGAGTCGCCCAGACGGTCTACGGCTCCAAACGGACGGTCTACGCTAACGCCGGGCGTCCGGAAAGTCGCACGTGACACGGTGGATGCACCACATACTGCAGCTCCGAACGATCCATCAGCAGCCCCGTGTTCAAGGCCTGGGGTCGGATGAAGTGAGTCTCAGAGCTGCGCGTGGCGGTACCCACGGTCGACGCGGCGCCCAAGAAATGGCACGAGTGAGTCGTATAATTGATTCGGTCGTGGAGCCGTGTTGACTGACTGACGAGTTGGAGGAACATAGGAGCATATTATTGCTCACGGTCGAGCCCCTCCTCCATTCGAGGAGAAACAAGGAAATGTCCAGTTCATTCATGTCCTTCAACTTTAGGGGAGGCTCACCTGTCATCTATAACATCGGCAACAAGCACGGAAGGGTCGCTTGCCTCGTGTCTTTCCGGGTCAAATCTCAGGATCAGCGAGCCAATGGCGAGTGTCTCTGCCAAAGGCCAATCAATGCGACCTCCAAAGCTGGTCACATCAAGGTTTCGTTTCGAAGAGAAGAAAAACACACTTAGAATATATATATATATAGTGGTCCTAGTGGTGATTCATTTTTTATGTATAAATATATATAATATATATATATATATGATGTATATACGCCCCTAGGACCACTAGGACTGTCATGTTTTTCTTGACCGTTCGAAAGTGAAAATCCCTTAACGCGTGTTCAAACCTGCAAGACATTTGTCACCTGACACGGTCAAACTTCCTCCCTCAAAAGCTGTGTAAAGAGGGTAATGGTTGAGCGTCCCACAATGGCCACGCGAACAATGAACTTACAGTATTACAACGACCGCAGTTGATCCACATTGACGTTCTAAGACTCCGTAATTAAGAAGGACACAACATGGTTTGTGCTGAAGGTAATTACATTGAACAGAAGTTAACATGGTCCGGCTGGGAGCGTTCACTGCTGAACTATCATCTTGCCGTGCCCACCTCCCCGCAGAACATACTGCCTCGAATCTCTGGCCGTGTCACTCGTTTGAGGCGACGCGGTCCACAGAACGGACAGTTGATTTAACTTAAAAATAGACATATAAATGATGAATATATATATATATAGAGAGAGAGAGAGAATTATGTAGGTATATGAAAAATTAAAAAACAAAAAAAAAACGAAAGAAACAACACATCAATGACCACCCTATGGCCCTGTGGTTGGGTTCTGACACACCTAGGACCTAGAACAGGATGCTCCTTGATTCGGGTGCCTTGCTGGAGTTGTGCCCTCCTTCCCTGCAGCAGCTTCGTCACCGTGGGGTGCGCATTCACATGCTCTGGGATGCGGCAAGCGGCCTGGCAAGATTCGTGGAAGGGCACATGGTCCATGGTGGTCCCAAATCAATCGAAACTTGAAACTTAAACGGTCCTGTCATTGTACCATACATTTGTTCGAAGGAACTTTGCGTTCAACGTCCTTTGTATGACCGTTTGGCTCGGGATTCAATTGTCTTCTGGAACGAAGGGACAGCTCTCCCAGCAGAACACTGCACTCATGGTCGCCATTAGACCATAGCGGCCATGAGCCCTCTTTGTCTTGGTGGCCAAAACAGCTCAAGCACTCGAAGCTGTGGGACTTCCTCAACCTGAACCTGTGGACCAGTCGTAACTTTCCAAAAACATGATACTCCCATTGTACTTTCGCCAAAGCATCCGGCAAGTAGACATCATCCGACAGCAGTCTGAGACTCCTTTGGGAAGCTGAACTGAAGCCCTTCCAGTATCATCTCCGCTTCAACTGAAGCCCTTCCTTCAACGCCACGAAACCGCGGCGGCGTCGTGTGACCCCCAAAGGATTCAGCGTCTGCCTCCCCGATCATCTTGAGCCACGACAAAGGCAGGCCAGTCAAGTTCACCGGCCGCGTGTCCTGCTGAGTTCGCACTCGCCAATCTTGCAGGCTGGAGCCTGAAGAGTTCGTGAAGAACGTGGCGCCCAGCGCCCACATGTCCCAGGCGCTTTGCAGGGTCATTGGGGCCATGAAAAGTGCCACCATAATTACACGAGCAATTATCATAATATGTGTATTTTTCATGTATGTACTTGTTCATCTGAGGATAACTATGGATAACTCATTGCTTTGATCTGCTGGGTATGGTGCGGGTCTTCTGTGCAAGTCGTCGACAGCGGTCGACGACTTAATCGGCGCGATCGGGGCGTGATCTTCACGACAAACCCAGCCGTCTGTAGCGTCTCTCCGGTGCCTTGAAGCTGTGAGTAGAGATGCTCCGCCTCAAACTCTTCGTAAATTTGAGAGACCTCCAATTCGATCTCCTCCTCACTCACCACACCTGAGCAATCGGGAGCTGAGCTGGGCAAAGAAACACTATACAATAGGGATACATAATATATATAACTATATATAGTGTTGCAGAGTCAGAAACCATTTTGCCATCACACGATGATGTAGACCGAAAGACACGTTTTGAAGTTGCTGTGAGGTGCATACTTAAATATAACTGGCACATCCGGACTGGTATGGACCAACGTTCTGGTACTGCTTGTTCTACCTCTGTGCTTATCAAAGTATCCCCAAATCAAACCCAGTCTGCTCGTGGAATCCTGCTTGTCGCCACCCACCGCCACCCACGTCCCCTTCTTGAAGAAACCAAGCGGCCAGCCTCCACGAGTAGCTCGCTGTACTGTTGGGATGCCGGAGGATGTTGTCTCATGCGCTCCTGTGACAATGGCTGGGTCAGTGAAGCATCTTCCACCTGCGGCGCAGGTAAGGAGCTCTGGGATGCGGAGCGGTGAAGACGGAAGGTGTTCTTGGGATGCGGAGCGGTGGGGAGTGAGGCTGCCAAAATTGGTCAAGCGGGATGGACTAGAATGAACCTGAACTTGCTGAACTGTTCTGCGCTTCAAAAGTATGGAAGTTGATGGACTTGAGGTGTTCATTTTGGATGAGCGATGAATCGTGCTTGATGATGGCACTGGGCAAAAGGATGGTCCTTCGAAAGGGACAAGTTCCCTGCAGACCATCTTAGACGCCATCCGGTCTCTCAATATGCTAAAATTAATAGGGTGCTCCCAACTTGAACCCTCAAGACCCAAGAAACCTTCTAAATGAGCATGTTCACACAAAATGCCCAGGTCTGTCAACGTGACCCAATTCAATTGGATAATCCCAAGCATCGCAGAAGCCACAAACAGCAACCAGCAAGTTTGGAGCCACTGTACCATTAGAGGTTTGCATCAGGCTGACAGTTTCCATTAGAGCTTTGCATCAGGTTGACTCCGGCTACAGAGCGACGAGCTTACATCTCCACTGCGCTTCGCGCAGCCTCGCTGTGCCCCTCTCGGCGGTAGCAAACCAAGTCCACCACCACGTCCTGGATCAGCTGCCAGCAAACAAACGCTAAAGTTCATAAAAGAATGAACAGGATATAACTTATAACAGTAACAGGATCATTACCCGAAATGCGCCCCAAAAAATGCCAAAAGGATCTTCTCCCCAGAGAAAAAAGCACACGTTTCACAGATGCCAAAGCACTGACCAGTTCATCCACACAAAAACCTCACAGTCACTTCACAATCTATCTAACTAGCAGCTGCACAAAGTGTTCTTTGCTTTCTGAACGGCTTCAACTCACCGCGCACGGTCCTTCCGGAAGGTCTGACGGTACTCTGCCGCTAGTTTGGCTGCGAAGAGCACCGCATCGACCTGAAAATTTGTGGGTCGAGTCAGTGGGGTGTTCCACGCAGAACTAGCCAAGATACACCAAGCACAACTCTTCGTACTTGACCCGACCCAAATAGCAAGGAAAAGAACAAGAGCACAAATACTATGAACTGCCATTAGAAGTCTATAGAGTCTGACCCCTGGATTGGGGGGATCATTTGGGGGTCAAGCTTCAGTCTGACCCACGGAATTTGAGGGATGTCCCCATCTCCATGCTCCTCGAAGTTTGGCTCGGTGTGATCGACATGAAGCTGACAAACACATCGAATCTCAAGGAAAATAACCAAATACTGCCACCAACACCTGAACCAAAATAAACTTATCATCGATGATCAAAAAATCAACACCCAAATCCATGTTCTATCACTCGCGTTCCTAAATCCCTGTATCACATACATCCTCCCCCCATCCTTCCAAATGCTCTCCTGCCCGCCCCCTGTCACCCCGCGGTGCCGCCGGACACAGCCAGCTGAGGATGTCTCGCTGAGGCTCCCGACGTCGTCGGCGTTCACGTGCAGGATGGGTGCATCGTTGACCTTCGCCACGTTGGTGCCTTGCTCCACCGTGGTTCCACGAAGGTTAGGGGACTCAGGGCCCCTGTCCTGAATGGCCAGAGTCGGGTGACCAAGCATGACTCATGTCGTATATGCAAAAGGTGGAAAGCTCACCCAAAAAGACCATGACCATGTGTTCCTGCCATGTCCTACCCTCGTGAAAGACAGCTCATAAATATAAAATAAGAAATTATGAATGGGTTTCCTTTGGGATGTCCTTTGTGGTTTATGAGAGGGGCCTTGAGCAGCTCAAAGGATCCAGATGGAGGAAGAAGGATCATAATTTCTCCTCAACAAGGAATCATTGCGAGATCCCACCGACCAAACCCTGCTTTGTATCGCTTTTGCTCCAAAGACATTGCCACCTATGCCAAGCCCCCTCATGCTTTGCCACCGACATGTGTGGCGATGTCAGTATCAACAGCGGAACTATGGCCTCACATGCGGCCTAGTGCATCCTCCCGGAACTGACGTCCCTGACTCCTCCAAGCGTCAGTGATAGGAGGAGCGGGCGGCCCGGGGATCAGTGGTGAAGCCCACCATATTGTTGATCACAAAGTGCACGGTGCCACCCGTCGTGTACGCTGGTAGGTCGGTGAGCTGCAAGCACTCCGACAAAATGCCCTGGGCGGCACGGTGGAGGCCAGGAGGTCACTTCGAGGCCAGGAGGTCACTACCACCTTTGTGCTTGTCACTTCGGGTCAGGAAAAATATAGGTTGGCTGGATGCTGTAAGAATGAGGATGTCATTGGCCGCGCCAACATTGTATGTACCCATGTAACGTGAGTACCAAGGCAAGCATGGATGAAACATCTGCACAAGGTTGGCAGACCTTGGGTTGCTGAACAGGAAGAACCACAGTTGACTGTACCTCAAGTTGTTGGACTTGTTACACTCCAAAAATAAACATTGTGTTTTTGGTTGCATGGTTCCGTCGCCGCTGCATCTTGATGACAGCAAGCCATAAACTATTCCGCTGGTAGAGGGAGAGATGAACAAAAACAACCTATACAATTATTCGTCACCAGGTCCCTAGCTTCTAGACCATACCCCACATGAAGCATTTAGAACGGATTACACGCCCCAAAAGCCCTGGCCTGTCCACAGAAGGCGGCATCCCCATGGATCAAAACACCCATCACGCGCCGCATATCATGGTCGCCCATGTAGTCCTGACATTGTCAGATTGAGTAAAGGTGCACAATTAAATTGTTGGACCTTTCAGCCCCAACCACCACAAAGGGTCTAGACGAGTCTATAATTGTTTTTTTGTTATGTTCTTTCCAAGGTTTTTAGGAACACTCACCTTTTGCCAGCCTATGAACGCTATGAAGACTTGAAAGATCCCAATGATTCCGCCAACATCAAGGCTTTATCCTTCAAAGTACACCATTCTATATGATATACAACATTGTTTAATTGTTTTGCTGTCGACCAAACATGCAGCTGCCAGCGGCCAAAGCAAGCATCCACAATCCACAGGTTTTAGTGATGTTTTTTTCCATTTGCCAGTGGGTAGTGGAGGTAAATGGGGTACCCAATTCAAGGCTTCTGCCCACAACCATCGAACATGTATAACTCCTTTCAGATTTCTTTCATGCCTTAGCTCCCATGGAGGTACTCCGCCTGGAACAGCTCGCAATGGAGAGCACATTTTACCTTAAGTCATCTTAAATTTACGAGTGTTTGCAAGTCTTCTGTCAAATTTCGCAAATTTGGATTTGCCCTGGTTCCTCACTGGGTACCCCCCTCTTCCCTGCGGCCGTCAGGAGTCTCCCGGCGAAAGCGTCGTCCTGCTTGGCTCGCGTCATTCCAAGCACCACAGGATCCACGGCCTCCAAGTGCGAGGGATTCGGAGCCAAGGTCACGTTGACGGAACCAGAACAAGGGCGACCTGGGCGTTACGGTGAACATTGAACAAACAAATGGCGGGTTTTAGCTGAATAGTGCATTCAATGCGCATCTATAGAAACGCAACCAAGCAGTTGCGCAATCACTCAAACACCGTTTAGTTTATATGTATAAACATATTTGGGTTCGCGGATGGCGCCCCAACTTCAAGAGCTCGCCTGACGGAATTTTGTCGAGGAATGTTTGGTGGCTGAGGTTACCGCGTGCAGAGAAAAGTTTGGGTTCGTGATTCAGAATCAGCAGTTATTTCATGTTATTTCTGCTGGCGGTTGGCAACTCAAAGCTTAAGAGAAACAAAACAAAAAGTTATACAGTAATGCATTTAATCAAATGCTAAGTCTTGCCTTGCCGGGTTTCAACCTTGCCCGGTTGAGCTCAAGCTGCCGGAACCTTAAGGAACGTTTGGCACCGTCCTGTCTAGTATTTTCTAGCTTTACGGATCAGAAAAACAACAGCGCTACTCCCGCAATGGAAACCATTTCCGTGCAAAGGCCGCAAGTTGGTGGCAACGTGCGCAATGATCTCCTGATGCCTTTCAGGGTCGGGAGCTGCTCCGTTCATCAAGGTGTCTGCTCGCATTTGTTGTTGTACACTCGGATGCATTCGCTTCACAGGATCTAAGATAGCCGTCCAACTGCTCACAAGCCTTTGGGGCAGGGGTTGAAGTTTCATCATGTTCGCAGAGCCTCTGTTGAACTTCATGAAGTACTGCACTCCTGCACTTGGTGGATCGTTTGCCTTCAGCAAGTCTCTGTCAAGAACACATTTGTAAACTGCTGCTTCACCGTCTAATTTGTTCCTCAATGCAGGTCCTCTTTTCTCCTCTCTAACTCTGTGATGTCGCGCCAGTCGTCAACGGCATCCTCAAGGGAAACCAAGATGGTTTACTGTCGTATAGGTAGCACCATTGTTGTCACTTGGTTGTCATAGCTATTGCTGTGGGTTCTCTTCTCACATGTCTATTGGCAAGTGCTTGTGGCTCAATGGCCAAGTCCATATCAGGCTCTTCCTAGTCATCTATCCAGTCCATGGCTCAATCTACAAACCCAAAGATGAGCTAGGATCTGGAGCTCACCTGGGTCTTCCAGGATCACTGCTCCGCTACCACTGTAGTACAGGGACTACCCCGTACGCCCTGTGAAGGCGCAGGCAAGCAGAGCTTGAGATCCCTTGAGATCCCTTGATCCGGAATACGATAGATGGCAGTCACATCACTGTTACAAGTATGCGTACGAAGGTCTTGGCCATTGAAGCCCATACGAAAACATCCCCTCCAGGGAGTAAGAACTACATAGCTGAGGTAGGAAAGGTGAGGAAGGAGGGTGTCCTCGCCTTGATTCCAAAATTTGCCTCTTCCGTGGTTTTTCTTGACCTACGAGCACTTTTCTTCACCCAACGGTCCCTTGAGATGAGAGAAGTAGAGAAGCAAAGGAAGAAAGCGAGGACAAAGTTCAAAATCCTTGGCTCCTTCTGGGTTCCTTCCTTCGGCTCTTTAAGCCTGAATCCTATGTCTCAAGGCTGTCTGCAAACCAGAAGCCGTTTCAAAACAGGGTGGACTCGGCAAACCACACGGAGTGAGAATTCGTCTGGGGATGTCAAACAGTCTTGAAGGGTGTCTGGGGATGTGAGCTAGCATGGGTAGTCCAATACGACCGGGGAATTGGACAAAGCAAGCTTAACAGAGCTACTACTGGAGCTGAACAGAACTACGCAGCGCTGTTGTCAAGTAGTTTAGGCAATTTGTTGTTCTTGTCCAAGTTGTAGCTGAAAGTCATCAAAACACAGAAAAGCACGGTTCTTTTCTCACGAAGGGCCCACATCTAGGCGCGCGCCCGGTATATTGATTTTAACTACTATAGACTATAGACTATTGATTTTACAAGAGCTCAATCAGGTGATTTTTTGTTCACAGGCTCGAGTGAACGAGTGAACGAAGAAGCCTGCCCTTGCGCAATTTAAAAAAGAAAGAGCACCCAGACGGGTGATCTTCTAACTGACATGATATGATCGCTCTTAGGACCGCCAAAAAAAACATATCACGCGTATGATACTTCTGTGGGTGCGAGCTATGTTGAAATGGTCTGAATGCTGCTCGAGTGGCAAGTTCCACGAGTTCCCAGGTGATACTTGAGATCGCCCAAGAAGTCGTTCTGCTCGCCAAACTCGCTGCAAACTTCCCACACACGTTTACCCATGAAGTTCACCTCAGATGGTGATTTCATGAGAATATCAGAGATAAATCTGTTGTGTTTCGACCAGAAAAGTAAAGAACTGTGCTCTCCAAGGGTCCAGGACATTCAGCCGACCACGATGTGCCATACCCAGCTGCATGTGTTCGATGCCCAGATGGTTGGCCTCTTCGGTTGTCGTGAGAATTCCAAAGTGAAAGAGAAACAATTCGCTCCAGCAAACTCTACTAGGTTGCTTGAAAGAATCTGGCTCCAGAGCGTTTGGATTCGCTGCCAACAGGTACAGTAAAAATCCCAAGAGCTATACTACAGCCTAGAGTTGCAACTCTCTTCCAACCTTTCTCTCCCTTAACTCTTAACTCTTGAAGGCCATAAATCCCGTCGCTCACCGTCCTCCAACCTTCGCTCCAAACACCGGAGCCTCGTGCTTGACCAGTGGAACCCCCGCCTCTTCGGTCAGGGCCCAAAGCGCCGGCAGCAGCGCTTCGCAGCCCTTCAGCCCGAAACGCTTCGCCTCGACAGGACGAGAATCGACGCTTCGCCTCTCTCCCGGTTTTGGTCGGCGGCGGTGTGGGACGGAAAGCGAGTTGGATAGCGTTCCGAAGCGATGGCTCGGACGGGAAGACGGGACGGGTGTGGAGACACCCCGTCTTAGAGGGTGTGGAGGCCTGTGGAGGCCTGTGGCCTCAAAACCCGTGCCTTTCAAGCAAATACACTTACAAGATCTTACAAGTCTAGCCATTCTAGCAGTTGCCCAATGTTGCCCATACAAGTTCTTGGGATAGAATAGAAATACGAGTGAAGGCTTCATGGTGGATGCAGCAATCCAGTGCAAGCCGGTGGTTTCTAGATGTCGAAGTCGATGAAGGCTTACCGAGTTGTGTGGACCACCTGCACCCCACCGTTCGCCCTGAAGATCTACATACAGTACCAAGGAAAGGGGTAGGAAAGGGGTAGTATCCATTGTATAACTATGAGAAAATACTAGTGTATTTTAAAGATTGGATATGATTGGCTGGTAAAGAAAAGAACGTAAAACATTAACATCGTACTACCTGTCCAAACGCGTTGATAACCTTTTGATACCCGTGAATTTCAGCTGATTGCTTCGATTGCTTAAATGCAGAATGTCACAGACACCAGTCGATCTCACTGGCCGAACAGACCGATCGACCGGGCATCTCCACCCTCCCGGACCCGGCGCGTCTGCGCGGGTTGACCTTCGGGAACTTCTCCCCAAGGAAGCGCTCGAAGGTGCTGGCCCGAAGCAGCCGGTTCAACGCCTCACGGCGCGACGCATGCGACGGTCGCTGCGACGGTGGGGAACGTAGTAACGTTTGGAACGTTTCAAATGGTGACAAGGAGGTGATTCGGACCGCGAAACGCGCTACCACAATTTTTGTAAGTTCCAGCTTTGGCAAGATTCTGTTGCACATTCTACAGCAATGGAACAGGAGTTTTGCTACACCTCTAAGTCCCTCAGTTTCGCTGGAAAAAAGGATTTTCGATGTTGTCAACATCTCTTCATGTCCAGTGGGGAAATCAATCCCTAAAAACGTTTACTGTATATAAAGGTTATAGTTATCCTCTGACTGGGTAGGACATTAGGGTATGACTGTGGGCCCCCCCAAAACCCCACCGGGGCGTGCCTCCCGCCGTGCAGTGCTCAGGTCAGACTTTGCTGCCACCCGGGCTTCCAAACGCTCTTCCAACCAGAGCCTCGTGGGGATGTCTTCAACTCTGCTGGCGTCCAACCCCAAAATCAGTGAAAAGGTGTGGAACCGACCTCAACAGGTTTGAAGGTTCTGTAGCAAATGTCACTCATGTGATCTCATGTGTGTTTTTCTGAGATGTCTGCAGTCTGCGGCTTAAGACCGAAACAAACGCCTAAGATGTTCGGCTTCGTGTGCTCCGTCCGCCCCACGGAATTCGGTTCCGTCTTCGCCTTTCAATGGGGTTGTCGATGTGTTGGTGCTCCGAGCTGAGTGTCGATGCGTAAGAAGAACAAAGGTGGTCAATGAATCTCCTGCCGGAATGAAGGTGGAATGAATCTCATTGGCTTGCAGGCTGCGGAATGTTCAGATGTTCATGACAGGATCGAACATGATCGAAGCTGATCGAACTTGATTCCATACTGTTCCATACTCTCCCGCAACTGAATCCGCTCTTCGACCCATTCCACCGATGGAACGACACCGGGTCCGAGTTCCTCCGTCCCGGTCGCTCCGGTCGTTCCACCGTCCCCGGTCGCTCCTGAAGGTCCAGACGGTCCCACCCGGCGGGTCTCCCCAGAACGACGGGACGTCCACTCCTGGCGACGGTCCCGCGGGCCGGTCTCGTGGACCGAGGCGGGCGGAGTCGGAGGGGTGGAGGGGCCTTTTTGGAGCCGGGGCGGAGGTCACACACCAAGACTTCAAGCAAGGAGTTAAGGGAGAAGCTGTCAATGCTGGACAACTGGTGCCCCTAAGAGATCTGGAGTCATGTTGCTGGTCTCATGACAACGGTCCCATCCCCCAGAAATGAATGAGAAGTCTATGTCATGCATGAAAGGCATTGAGAGGCTTCAACACTTCAACTACCCACCTCATCCCACCTCTCCTTCGGGTAAGGGATCATCCTCCCCAAAGTTCTCCAGTGCGAAAACGCTCAGATCAATGCTCTCCTGATTCAAAAAGCCAACATGTGATCCAAGGTGGATTTCCATAGTGATACTGTCCAGAATCGAACCCAAACAAAGCCCGGACATGCGTTCGGACATGGTGACAGCCCGTGCTGTGCTGTTCGGACAGGCTGAGGCTGTTGAGTTGACGAACCGGTGACTCCGTCCAGACCGTTGCGACACGATGGACGTCACTGGCGCCAAGATGCTGGGTAATTTCGGAGCAACCTCGGCCAATCCAGTGGGGTGTGGTGCAGGACGGTGCACCAACACGTAGGACACGAAGAGAATACATGCTGGGCGATGCTTCAACTGCTGGTAGAAAGTTGCAATGCAAAACTAGAATCCTCAATAATCCTATTGAATATCCTGTAAAACAATGTTTAAACACATCTGAAAACTGTGTAGAATTCAGGATGGGATCACATCGAAGAAACGAGGTGTTTCTTTAAATGTTACATCTAAGTATATGGACGAGTACGGACTCGTCCGTACTGTCGTCCATGCATGTCGTGAGCTCACGCGAGCTCGCACCGGCCCGGTGTAGGACCCAGGCACCGATTCACATCGATGCTGGGGATCTTCTGCCCATGTTTGCCACCAATTCTCCAGTGCACAGGTTCTTTCGGAGAGAGCTGTCCTGGAAGAGATGCTGAAGAGCTGTAATATGGGAGGAATTGAAGCATCTGCCCAGACCCTCATGGAGTCATAATATGGAGGGGTCAGACCCTCATATGGAGGGGTCTGGGGTCTCCAATCCCTAGGTTTTGAGGGACCAAGGGCTGTTTGGAGCCTGGGTGAGTTGTTGTTCGAAGGGTTTGACTAATATTACTAATATGCATTGTTGGAGCTGCGTGAGGGATGGTGTCTTCGCTGACGTGTCGCTGAAGCAAAATGATGCAGAATCTCACATACCTTTTATGGTTAAGATCTGTTATTATACAAAATGGCTTTCTGCCACTCCACTTCTGGCAGGGGAAGCTAGCTAGGACTTGGCACCACAATGGCATTGGTGCTGGATCCTTCTCGTCCCAGCAAAGTCCCACTTCATGTCAAACTCACGAGCATCAAGTTACATCATCAAGCTTGGAATTTTGACCAAACATCAAGAAGGTTGAAGGTTGAAATTTGTTGAAAAGGAACATCACCGCATGCATAGCTGTGACTCTCCATTCAGCTCACCCCGTTTTGAACTCACACCAACAACCAAGAAACATCCCGCCCATGGCCACCCCATGGCCGGGGCCACCGCGGCATGCTGCGGATACGACTTCCGAGGGGCGTGATTGCTTCCCTCGCAGCGGGTCCAAGGTGGCGGCCAAGTGCCCCCGGTTCCGGAGCGCGGCTGCCAGGTGGAAGACCCGCACGGAGGCCTCAGCGGTGAAACGCTGGGATCCTGGCGATCGGATAGAGAGCATCAAAGCGACGGCAGGTTTTGAGGTTCAAACCAAGAAAGCAAGTGTAAAAGGTCAACAAGTAGCAAGTATATCATATTGTTTGCAACTGCAAGACTAGGGAGTTTAACTGGACAGTTCTCCTCAGTCTGTGAGACATCGCCCTTGCGTGTCCCCCCTGTTTTGTGACCAAATCAAAGAACTCACACTCCATCCTTTTGTGTCAATAGACCGTTTGTTGGCCGAAAAGAATGTTTCGTGTCAATTCTTCGATGCAAAAACACCGAAGTCGATGATTCGGCCAGTAGTCCTGACCCGGTCGCGCGGCCCATCTGCAGCTTGTAAATTGCTTGTGCTGACTGAGGCTGACCACCCGTTTCGTGGTGCTGCAGTTTTTCATGACATCTCTGCAGTCGACAGTGGGTCGTTATTCAGAAACCATCGCATTCGAACATGAACTGTTTCTACAGTGTCTTCCGTAAATGCTCTGTGGGTGTCCAACACGGGTCTCTCATGCTGCAACTGCAACCCCACACAAGTCCTTTTCAACACGTTGGAACTAGCTGAGACACGTACGGAAGAGAAAACTATCTAAGTACTCTCTCTCTCTCTCTCTTACTCTGATTGATAAACCTTCCTTCAATGAAGAAGGCGTGTATATAATTAGTTTAGGATGATGTAATGGATGTTTTTGTGGTCAGAACATGGGTTGAAATTAAAGTGAAAAATATATAAAAGACCTACTGTAATTGAAAGAGTCCTAACGAAAACAAAAGGAACATGATGCATGAAAGGCCTTTAATGGAAGTCATATGCATGCATATTGTCAAGAAATCGATGGCTACATAATTCATTGGCTTGGAGGGTTGTTTTGCTATGGCAATGGAAAAGGCTGGAGGGGGGTTGGGGAGCAGCAGGCGCAACCCAAAATCAACACTTAAATGTAGAAACTCAAAATGCAGAACCCACCAAAATCCCAAGTAAAAGCCACCCAGAGCCGAATGCCAGAATTCGCCAAAAGCCAAGAAGCCACCAGGACCCACCAAATACAGCAACAAAACAAACACCGACTCCATTGAAGGTCTGGGATATACAATATCAAATTCCTACATTGCTTGCTTTGGTATGGAATGAAAATAATTACAGTAGGAGTTCCCTTTGATCCCCCGCTCGTTGTCTTGACGCGGAGAGGACGCGTCCAAGTGGCATGCCAATCCTTAAGCCAATCCTCCCAGACCTTTTCACTGATATCCAGCGCATCTGCTTTGAAACGGAGATGCCGAAAGAGAAGCCTCTCACGATTGATACAACGTCATTGGACTGGTTGCTTCGACTGCTCGACTTATGCCTTCCACAATCCATTTGCGGCACATTTCAGAATTGTGTTTGCATCAATATGGTTTGCGTTACCTGCCTCAAGCTGTGTCAAAGGCATTCAAAAGCAGCATCTCGCACTACTAGCTTTCGCCCTCGCACAAAACTTCCCTCAGTCGCGCCTCCCCTTTCCTCTTGCAAATCGATCCAATCGGAGCATGCCCTGGCCCCTGAACAGGTGGCCAAGCACACCATCGGCAGAGGCGAAAAAGGGCTCAGCTGCGAAGAAAAGCTGTGGAATGTTGCTCTGCTTCTTGTGGAATGTCGCCCATGTTCCAAAAAAGGCAAACAACTTCATCCAAGGGGCGGGTGTTTTTTTCCCGAATGCGTAGCGAAGGGTTCTCGTTTAACTCTTGGGGGTCTGGGGGTAGAGTCTTGTTCGCGATCCGTTGTTTCTATGTTCGCAACCGTCCGCAACCGTTCGCAACCGTTCGCAACCGTTCGCAGTAGGACGCTAAGGCGCTGCCATTGGGGGAAGCTTTTGCAAGTGACTTTTCATGGATGTGTCCCGTGTCAGTTTGCGACGCTATTCCATTGTGATTTGCATGAAAATGACATGTCGCGCAAGAAGCGTGATGCGTTTCGCTGCACAGGCGCAGTGGTTTGAGAGATCCGCAGTTTACTGCGCAGTTCCATTGGGATTAGTGTTTGGAGAGTCGTGTTTTTGGGGTGTTGGATGTGGCCGTGCCATTGGGATTTGCATTTCAGGGTGTGGCATCGAAGCTCTGTTTTCGTGACAAGTCTCAGCTGAAATGCCGATTTTGGTGGATGGGAGTGTGCTCAGAACGGGTCGAAATCATTGCAAACGTGTGGTGTGGTGCAAATTTTGTTGAAGCTGTTGCAGCTGACATGAGATGATATTGTCACTTTTCGTGGCAGGCGCAGTACTTTGTGTGGGTTTTGAGGCGTGGAAGTGCGATTCTCGTGGCAGGCGCAGGCAATGGTGAGGTTGCGAGGTGTGACGGAGGTAACATTTCGTGGCAGGCGCAGTACTTTGTGCGCGTTAGACATGTGGATGGAGAAAGATTCGTGGCAGGCGCAGGGAATTGTGAGGTCGTGAGTTGTGGTAGAAGTGAATGTCGCTGTCACAGTGGGATTGGCGTGTGAACGGGTGTTGTTTGGAGGGGCTGGACTCGCGAAACTGCTTGGCAGGGCTGCGTGATGTGTGTGCTCCGATGGGTGTTTC